GTCGGATTAGTAGTCGTGAGGTCGTGGGTTCGAGCCCACGTTAGGGGGTAATATTTTAAGTTACAAAATCGGTTTTTCAGCGATGATTGCGTTAGGGTTTGGTAGGTAGGGCACAATGAATACTAAAAATCATCCTAAAAAATGTTAATTATTTTGTTTTTGATATTATTGATAATTGCCATGAACAGTTTGGCAGCCAGTGCGGCACCAGTCGCATACCGGTATTGACTTTTTTTCCTCGTTGAACCTATCACGAATGCTGAGGAGTAATATTAAATTACTTGTATTTCAATCACCCATATTATCATATTCATGTAATTAAGTAATGTTTAATTGAGCCTGGCCAACAACTGGCAATCAACGCTGGGCCGAGATGGGCGCCCAGACCTGGCCCGATGTTATCATTCCAGGTTTCAACCAAGTCCGGCGCGGTCCCGGTTGAGGAATGGGTCCCGAAGTTCGGCAGGCCGGCCACCGGGCTTGGGCCAAGCTCGGCCCATTCGTTTTTTCGTACGTGGGTTTGAGTTGTAAAAATCGCGGGCTATTGGAATGAGATTTGTCATACATTAGAAATCGATTAGATGTGTCTAAAAACGAATATTAGTGCAAAAATTTTATTGTTTATTGTTCGTTTGCCCCGCCGACGCTAAAAATGTTAAAAATAGTCCAGGGCCTCTAATTTTCGAGCTACGGAAAATTGTTTTTTTTTTCAAAATTTTTGGAAAAATGTGTGCAATAATAATTATGTTAACTTTTCTGAAAGAATCAAAATATAGTCCTCGCCACAAAAGAAGGAAGCCACGATGCCGAGTGTTGCAAACTCACACAACTCACAAACTATTTTGTGACACGAAGGTCCGACAAGGGGGAGGGGCGAGGTGGGGGCGTAGGAGCGGTGTCTAGGGGACACAGCCCCCGGCGAGGGTTGGGGGGGCGCTCCCCCCCTGCAAAAAAACCTGGATGATAGTACTCTGTTCTCCCAGAAACGAAGAAAGATGTTTGCATAAAAGTGAAACACATAATTTTTTTCCGACCAAAACTCCCAAAAAAGAATAAACAAGATGGAATTCCACCTCTTCTGTTACCGACAGGGTACACAGAATCGCTCAATTGCATATTGGCCATATTGGCCAGATCCGCCGAAGCCACAGCCATAACGGCTCACTTCATGTTTCACTTGTACAATAGTTATCAGGGTTGTGCATCTAGTATCTGTATGATTTTACGAACCAAGAACTGGTAAGCCTTACTTACCATACCCGGCCTCGTTTTACGGTATCGTCCCGCTAAACGCCATTTACCCCCCCTGAACACAGCCACCGCAGGTACCACTAATCGGGCTTCAGTGACGAAATAGTATATTGTGTCATTAGGACCGTAGACGGAGGTTTGCGATGAGTGTGAAGTTAGCAGCACGAGGCGTCGGTAAGACAGGACGAGGCGCGCCTCGTCCTGTCTTACCGACGCCTCGTGCTGCTAACTTCACACTCATCGCAAACCTCCGTCTACGGTCCTAATGACACAATATACTATTTCGTCACTGAAGCCCGATTAGTGGTACCTGCGGTGGCTGTGTTCAGGGGGGGTAAATGGCGTTTAGCGGGACGATACCGTAAAACGAGGCCGGGTATGGTAAGTAAGGCTTACCAGTTCTTGGTTCGTAAAATCATACAGATACTAGATGCACAACCCTGATAACTATTGTACAAGTGAAACATGAAGTGAGCCGTTATGGCTGTGGCTTCGGCGGATCTGGCCAATATGGCCAATATGCAATTGAGCGATTCTGTGTACCCTGTCGGTAACAGAAGAGGTGGAATTCCATCTTGTTTATTCTTTTTTGGGAGTTTTGGTCGGAAAAAAATTATGTGTTTCACTTTTATGCAAACATCTTTCTTCGTTTCTGGGAGAACAGAGTACTATCATCCAGGTTTTTTTGCAGGGGGGGAGCGCCCCCCCAACCCTCGCCGGGGGCTGTGTCCCCTAGACACCGCTCCTACGCCCCCACCTCGCCCCTCCCCCTTGTCGGACCTTCGTGTCACAAAATAGTTTGTGAGTTGTGTGAGTTTGCAACACTCGGCATCGTGGCTTCCTTCTTTTGTGGCGAGGACTATATTTTGATTCTTTCAGAAAAGTTAACATAATTATTATTGCACACATTTTTCCAAAAATTTTGAAAAAAAAAACAATTTTCCGTAGCTCGAAAATTAGAGGCCCTGGACTATTTTTAACATTTTTAGCGTCGGCGGGGCAAACGAACAATAAACAATAAAATTTTTGCACTAATATTCGTTTTTAGACACATCTAATCGATTTCTAATGTATGACAAATCTCATTCCAATAGCCCGCGATTTTTACAACTCAAACCCACGTACGAAAAAACGAATGGGCCGAGCTTGGCCCAAGCCCGGTGGCCGGCCTGCCGAACTTCGGGACCCATTCCTCAACCGGGACCGCGCCGGACTTGGTTGAAACCTGGAATGATAACATCGGGCCAGGTCTGGGCGCCCATCTCGGCCCAGCGTTGATTGCCAGTTGTTGGCCAGGCTCAATTAAACATTACTTAATTACATGAATATGATAATATGGGTGATTGAAATACAAGTAATTTAATATTACTCCTCAGCATTCGTAATAGGTTCAACGAGGAAAAAAAGTCAATACCGGTATGCGACTGGTGCCGCACTGGCTGCCAAACTGTTCATGGCAATTATCAATAATATCAAAAACAAAATAATTAACATTTTTTAGGATGATTTTTAGTATTCATTGTGCCCTACCTACCAAACCCTAACGCAATCATCGCTGAAAAACCGATTTTGTAACTTAAAATATTACCCCCTAACGTGGGCTCGAACCCACGACCTCACGACTACTAATCCGACGCCCTAACCACTAGTCTACCGCGCAATTCGTAAAACCTCTACTTCAAATCTTCCATATTAATTCCATCTCGGTTTTTTTCGACTTGAATGTTTTATTATTCAGTTGATAGAAATATTAAGTGATTCAACTACAGTTTAATCGGTAAATTAATTCAATAATGAATAATAATAATAATTATTATTAATTACAATAATAATTGTAACAATTAGGATTACTGTTGAATGACGATTCTTCTTCTTTTCGTAATAATTAGCGAGTAACATGTGACTTCAACACCTACAATGTCACCATTTTTTTACGATTACACCCTTAATATTTTACCCTCAAGTTTCCACCCTTACCATTCAACCCTCAGAATTTCAGCCTTATGATTTTTTCGCCCCTTTCCATTATTGCGATTTGACCCTTACAATTTTACTCTTCAGATTTTACCCTTATGATTCTACCCCTATGATTCCATTCTCATCATCTCACCCTTGCGATTTAATCCTTACAGTTACACCAACGGCTGGAGCCCAATGACCAAGCTCCGGGCCACCGCTGGCTAAGGCTTGGTTATCGAGCTCCGGCATACCAATGTCCGGCCAAGGCTGGGCCAGATCTGTCAACCAAGGCTCGGTTACCCGCCCTTCTCCCGAGACTCAAGCCCTGGTCCCCAGGGATGGCCGAACCTCGGTCCAAGCCTGGGCGCCCAGACTTGGCAAGCCCAGGCTTGTGCCAGGCTTGGCCCGTTTCTCCAACACTGGCATTTCGTACGTGGATAAGTAGTCTCCCCTTTAATCGCCAAGAACTGAGTTAGTGTCTCTATATAATAAAAATGCAAGGAGGTTTAGAAATCAGGAGACGCTGCTGATTCTGACCCTTATCTGTGTCCCTGATGATAAAATGAATTATTATCTTTACCTCTTTAATATGATTATATCTCTATAAGTTCATATGGAGTCATATGAAGATTATACGGCGGTCAAATCCTTGAACAATAGTAATAAGAATATATCTCATCCTATTCTATGTAAATAAATGGAAAAATGAATGGTTCAGTCTCAAGATAAAAGGCGTTGGTTGGAACCTTTTATAAATAATAAAAATCTCAATTTTTCACAGGAGGTCAATCATTCTATGAATTATTTTTTTTGTATACACTCGATTAGTCCGGGCGCTTATGTCCTACTCCATGAGGGTTAATGTATGCCAATTGTGAATAGTGAATAGTAAATAGTGTTATATATTATATATTTCAGGGGTGAATTGTATTGTTTTTATCTATAATACATCCAGTGTAACGTTTTTTGAAACCAATCTAGTCAGCGTCTTGTGTCATTAGATTTTTTGTCAATTATTATAGCATTCATTAAAGATATTACGATAATAGTATGTTATATTATATTCTATACTATATTATATTATATATACTATGTATAATATACAATATATAATAGTGTACTATAGGTATTATAAAATATAATGTACATAATAAAAAAAATTAACTAATAAACTGTAAACTATAATAACATACATTGAGTATACGATATTGTGCTACATTATAGATACATCATTATATATGCATAATGTATAATAGTATAGTAGAGCATATAATATCATACAGTATTATCGTGCTATCTTTAATCTATGCTATCATCATTTACGACGAAGAGATTGGCTTCAGAAAACGTTACACTGGATTTTTTAGTAATGGAATATGAACACCTAAACAAGCCCAAGAAGATGAGGGGGGGGGGCTAAGCCCCTCCGGCGTTGATGCGCGCAGCGAGCAGGGGGTGAAACCCTCTAGTTTACAATAAGTAATTGCCAAAAATGTTAAAATCTTTTTTTCATTTACCTCGAACAACTGATTCATCATCCACCTGGAATTTCAAGCTAGTCGCTCTCCGGGAAAACCGCAAACTGTGCCACATATCATCATTGAGACCTTGTCCAGAGTACAAAACCTGAAAACAGAAAAAAACATTGCATTCATCAGCTAATTCTTTCCGTGATTTCCCAATAACGTCACATCTCATGTTTCCCTGGAATTGAATCACGCCAGATTTATTTGGAACTCGGAGTGGTGAATTAGTATCACCCGTTCTTACTATATGCCTCTACGGCACCATCGTGCGCGCAATCCCAGAGTAAAATCAACAGTCCACAAACGACAGCAGTGGGATTAATTTCGATCGTGTTTGCGGACACAACTGACGGACAAATACAAACGCTCGTCGACACTTGATTCCAATCTTATCATTAGTTTCTGGGGTTTTTAACATGGATTTGAATTGATTTTTCGAATTATGCACATCATCCGATTATTTCAAACCATGAATGAATGATTAATCCTTTTATACATAATAAATATCTTGCCCTTTTTTGTTCGCGATTCATACAAGAACAATGAATGGATTTGAATGGGATTCTCACTGTATTATTATTACATAATAATCCGATACAATTTTTTATTGCCGAATTGAATTTTTCCCTATTTTTTTTATAATATTCTATGAAAATGTGAGGGTAGGAATTGAATTTATGGATATTGGTTCATTATTCGAAAAAATATATTAATATTAAAATTTTTCCTAAACATTGAAAAATTAAAAATTCTGTTTTCGTATTGATCTCGTTTCTCTCCCTCTTTTCACTTTCTTCCATCAGGATTAGATAATAGAGAGAAATACATTAGTTTTTCTTCATTATTAAAAAAAACGTTTTGAAATTTTCAAGACTGAAAAATCGATTTTTTAAATTTCTTACTAATTTTCCTTCCCTACATTTTCCGTTCTTGTTTCTATGAATGGAATATGATCACAGAAATTAAAAATTGATGATGATCGATCTCTCTTTGCAATTTCCTTCTCCGGTTCTATTGAAATGAGATCAAAGAGTTGTAAAATGATCATATTCGTTCACATTTTCAAATCATTGGTATTGATTAATTTAAAGAAAGAGGAAGAAATGACAAATTTTAGGTATGATTATTGAAAATTGGTGGTCTATTTGTAATCTCACGTGATTTATGGGGAATTCTTCTTCATTCAATGTTGTAACTTGTGAATTAAGGAACAAAAATATATATATCATCATAATAAGAATGAATCAAATTAAATTAATCTAACTTAATCTAAAAAAACTTATAATCAAATAAAGGATTTGGACCCTTTTGATCCTTGTAACCCTGCTGTACCCTAACACCCCTCCGTTACCCCTTCTTGTAACATCAATCATTTTTCAATCAATTTCTGCTAGATGAAACAAAATTCAATCTTCAATTAGAAGAGATCCACCTGAATTACAAAATTACGTTCACTGATCATTCTTTCATGTGTTCATGCATCGAACTCTATTCAGTTGTATGTAATTGTTCATTCTTTATTTAATATCACATCACGTGAAATTCCTCTCTTCATCCTATCAAAGATAATTTGCCTGTAGTGCGGGCTTCCAGGCGATGGCCAGTTGTGAATAGATTAAAAAAAAAAAAAAAAAAGCTAGTAATTAATTTTTCCTGGCTGTGAGTGCGATTAATCGTACGACGAATGGGAATAACAACCGAAGAAGAAGTGGATACTGCATTTTTTCAATCAAAAACTACACGCGAATGCTATCATGGGGCGGATATTAACGCTCGACGATCTCGTTTTACCTCTCGCCGATAGAGAGTTGATTAAATTGCATTTCTATTAATCTCTAAATGTTGAATTTACTCTGTTTTAATTCATAAATTCTATTTGATATTTTACAGTTGAATCAGAAGCATTTCTGAGATAGAAAATGTTGATGCTATACAGGGTGTTTCAAAATTCATCGTACGTATATGGTAAGGGTAGTTCCGGGGGGGGGG